CCCTCTCCTCCTGTTCTTGTCTAAGTCTCTCTTCTTCCTGCTCTTTCTTCTGTCTTTCCTCTTCCAACTGTCTCTGCTGCAGCAACTCCCTCTGTCTTGCCTTTTCGATTTCTTTTTCTCTTTGCCTCTCCACCTCGCATAGCTCTTCTTCTAACCGTTTTCTTTCTAGTTCCTGTACTCTTTGTTTCTCTATTTCCTCCTCTCTGAGTCTACGCTCTTCCCTCTGTCGTGCCTCTTCTTTCTCCCTCTCCTGTTCATCGTGTTTCTGCTCATCCTCTAAGTTGCATCTCGCCTGTTCCTTCTCCTCTTTCTTCTGTATTTGATCCAATTCCACGGATTTTAGCCTTTCTTCATCTTGTCTTTGCATCTCCTCGTCCTTCCTCTGCAGAATTCCAACTTTTCTGTAGACAGGCACAGAGTTGAGGGCACCCTCATCAGTTTTACTGTTAGAAGCATCGTTTTCTTCTTCTTCCTCTTCTTCTTCTTCTGTGCTGGACTCAGACTCTGAGCCCAGGATCAATGGAGGGCTACCATCGTCTGTAACCACGGTACCGAAGCGAACAGAGCGACGTTTCACATTGTCCCGTCTTGGTTTGAAACCAGAAGCTGAGTCTTCTTCAGCGTTGGCGGCGTGGGACGGAGACAGGCTGCGACTGCGTAACTGAACATCCTCCTCTGCTTTCTTCTGCTCTGCTGATGTGTCTACTGAACTCTCTGATGACTCACTTTGATTGGGAGCATCTTTTGTCACTTCGAACTGCTTCTCTGTAGGTTGATGAGTTGGTGAGATCACCAATACTGGGTCCCCAGCCTGAGGAGGAGCTTCCTCAGCTATAGGAACCTCTATAGTTTGAATGTTAAGTGTTTTCTCTGCTGGTGACACAGCTGCAGGCTCAAAACTGAGAAGAGACAGAGATAAAAATAATATAGAAACTTTAGAAAACAGACTCCTGGCAACTTTTAGACATGTCTCAGCAAACCACAGTAAAGTAATTATGCCAGGTGGACTGTAAGGCAGCAGCTGGTAACATGATGGGACACTTACAAAGAGCACTGATATGGTGTCTGTACAGTACATCACTCTGTGCACTTAACTAAAAGCCAACACCCTGTGGTTTGCCGTAAATGACCACTAAATAACATTCTGCAAATCTCTTTTGATCTGTACAGAAACTAAAAGGCATGGTAGGCCAAGTCAGTTTTATACAGTTACCGTATGATCCCATTTATTTTTTTAAAAGCCTGCTAATAACTGATCCGTGTGTGTCAAAACTTTGAGACAAACTTCATGCTTGACTACACCTGCAGTAGAATGTTCTCCTTTCTTACTCGTGTCAAGTCTTGCCCCCTAAACACAACAGCATGGATGTAAGAAAGTGTCACTTACACTTTGGAGCAGGTTCTGGGTGCAACCAGAGGCTTCTTCTCAGCCTTAGGACCATCAGAACCCGTCTCTGCAGCCCAGTTCCGGATCCGCTCCTTCACTCCACTGGTGACATTCATCACTTCTGGTTCCTCTTTCTTTGTTGTTGCCTCTGGCCTTGAAGACGAGTCAAACAGAAGACTGATCCTGCGTTTTATGCTGTTCCCTCCGCTGTATTCCTCCTTTGGTTCATCGGCATCACCCTCACGGTTTGAGGGTTCTGACTTTGCCAGGGTCTGCTCTGGAGCGGAAGGCACGGGCTTAACTGAAACATCTTTGATGCTGGTTGTAGAGATGGCGTTAATAGGTTTAGGTGGCAGAGGCAAACCACCTGACTCAAACTTTGAGGTGAGTTTCGTAGACAGACGCTTCCTGGCACCGCCCCACGGATAAGTTGAGTCAGCTTTAGAGGAAGCGTCGTTGCTGGATTCTTCAACCTTCTGGGCAGCAATAACCAGACTTTCATCCTTCTTTTCCTCATCTTTCGGCTCTGAGTTAGTTCCTGCCTCTGTGGACGGTTTGCTGTTTGTTTGGATGACATCATCTTCCTGGACCGGCTCAGACTTTGGTGTCTCCTTGGGTGGACTTGTTTGAGGAGCTGGATCTGATATTCCAGCACCAGAATCAAGTGTAGCATCTTTGCGTGGAAGAACTTCGCTCGCCTTGGTTTCTGGTGGCTGGTTTTTGGCGGGGACACTCACAGAGCTCGGCTTAGAAGCTAAAATGGAAGCCGGTTCAGGCGACTTCGGGGCAGGGGTGCTCAGAGCCGGCTGGGAGCCACCTGCGGCCTCGGATTTTCCACTCTGGTCTGGTTTGGCATTCGACACACCATGAATTGTCTTCGGAGCGTGGATGGAATGAATTGTGGTGTTCCTCTGCAGAGAGAAGGGCTTGGGAGCGAGGCGAGGTTTGGGAACCAGACCTGGCTTCGGTTTAGAGATGCCTCCACTCTGGGAAGCCTGAACGGAGCTCTCCATAGCCGAGTCCCTGAGAGAAAGGGAGAAACAGAAGAAGACACAGAAGAATGGTTAACTAAGGAAGCATACATGTTTACTCTGATAAATCATATTAAAAGTCAAGACAAAGCCTTCTGGTTAAACTCAGGAACAAATCTGGTTAGTCTAGATTTTTGACGGCGCATGTTTACTGAGAGGGTAAGGTGAAACTAATCAATCACACTGAACAAACACGAGTTCTCCGAAAAGTCTTTTTGATTTTTTTGCTCAGTTTTCTCTCATCGCCTTGGTTTTTAAAAACCTCCACAAAATGAATAATCTCTGTCATAACACAGGGCTTAACAGCCTCTGAGCGCTCCTCATGAGTGAGGATGCTCAGTCGATCAGAATAATGCGTACAAAAGGAGACAGAGATGTGTGATTTCAGCTATGGATAAACAAAGACTACGCTCTGTCACCTCGAACAATTTACATCTAATTACATGTCATTTAGCCTTCTGTTGTGCATCTGTATGAAATACCACTGCTCCTGACTTGTAAACGCCTATTATTTACACTAAACAGGCAGCATCGCTCACGTTTGAACACCTGGTGATTATGTATTCTGCATGTCATGACAAAAAGGAAGCTTTCATTTTTCTCCTTTGACAGTATTGTATCCAAAAGAAGTTCAAGAAGTTCAATCAACACACATTAACATGATCTTAACAAATGGATATGACAAAGGAAGCGAGCCACTCTGACAGTTTTACACAGGAATCAGCCCAGGCAGGTAGAACAATGTCAAAAACTTGAGCAAGCCAGATGAGTCATCACACGTATCTATTATACAATACACACAGTTGCTCCGCATCTCTAACTAAACTGAGAGCACCAGAATAAGAAAATGTCCTGACGTTTGCGGACAGTTGTGTGTGTCACAGATGGAGCTAAGTTACGCACCATGTGAAAAAGATAACAATGACATTTCCTCATCAGGACACTGAATACCACCGGCCGTGTGCGATTGGGCCTGTACCGCGTCTTCTCCAACGGGCAGACATGGCTCCACACCCCACAGCATCAGTGAACTTCTCCCCCTCGCATGTTGTCAATAGCCATCTGGCTGACATGAGCTGTTTTGAGCCCAAACAACAGTCGCCATGTGCACATTTTTTGCAAGTGGTACGTGTTGATATGTTGCTCCCCTGCCTGAACACACAACACCTCTGGGTGTGCATGATATTGTGTAATGGGATCAGGCTGGACTAAGGCTTTATGCAGCAGTCAGAGAGGCTCAAAAGGCATCCTGTTTGCTTCCCCCATTTTTTCTCTCTCATTACAGCTGAATTCCTAAGAAACAAACAAAAGCTGGGAGGGTAGCACAGATCTCTGGAGTTCATTTAATGGATTCATGTGAGCTGAAGTGATTTTGAAGGAGCTCTCAACCGGCTGGTTTTTAAAAGTTTCTTTATCTTCGTTGACCTTTAGGTCCAGTTACCATGCCAAGGCGATACTACTCTGTCTGCCTCTGGTTTTCATGTTTACTTTGGGTTGGTTTTTGAGTGATGCCGGGAGCTCCCTCTTTTCGTGTAGGATCAGTTTTCCTTTCACACGAACGGGCCGATGGAGCGAGCTCCTGTTCACATCGGAACAGCCGTAGCTTTCATTTAATAAGTTACTAATAAACACGCCAGGGATGAACTCCCAGTCATTGAACCAACACGATGTCCGCTGAGATGTGAGTCAAATAACCGTAACATCATGTTTAACCCCAGCCAGTATTCTGTGCGAAGCTTCCGATATTGGAAAACATTAGCAGTGTTTACATTTAATTATGAGAATACAGCCTCAATATGAACTCGTAAAGATGCTCGTAAAGATGTGCACCTGCTCCCAAACGCGACTGCTTACATCCAATAAAACATGAAGCTATTGATAGAAGTAAAATAACCAAAAGGAGTTAAAGTTTCTATCCAGTTTTATTGTTTACCTCTTGTCTTCACGCAGTCATACAGGTGGACGGAGGAAGGAAGCGGGAAGAAGTAACAAAAGAAAGCTGCTCCTCTGCTTTCCGTGACTGTCTCGCCTGCTGAGCTGTTGTCAGACTCTTTTTTCTTTTTTCTTTTTCAAGTCATTCAAAGTAACAAGACGTCAGACCTGAGCTACACCCAGCAGACACTCCCTCTGCCCGCCTCAGCTCGACGAACGCTGTCTCTGTAAAAACGCCGTGAACGAACAGCGCGAGACCGGAAGTGGAGAATTCCTACAGCAAAACAAGAGTTTAGAGGCCGCGTCGGATTCAAAATATGATCATGGTTAAATGTGTTTGTTGTTACTAGTTGAATCTTTGAGAAAAGCAACGCCAACAAGAAGAATAAAAAAAGAAAAGACATTTGAGAGGGCTGCCTTTGTAGTGACATTGGACTAATTTGGAATCTAATAATCTAACACCAAGTACAGCATAAGAACCGGAAATGTGTGTGATCCAGGGGCCAAATTGGAATATATTTATTTTATACAGTTTTCTTCTCGAAGGCGAAAGTTTTGTCTGATACAGTCTTCGAAAACATTCAAGTAAGTATTTCCATGTCACTTGACTGTCTCTCTAAAATAGTGGATACATGTTTTCTAACCGAGTGTGTTTGTATTTGTCAATAGACTTATTTTTAGTATTTCGTCCAAAGTCTTGGCAAGGGCTAAAACAACAAGGCAAAACATTTGAAAGCCCAGGGCCATCAGTAACGCTTAATCCCAGGACACGAATAAAAATAAATATCTAGGCGCATTTAAACCGGAAGTTTCAAGTGCGTATTTTCAACTTCACAGTATTAGTTGACTGGATAAACGGGTTCCGACTGATGTGAGGTCACGTTACCCGGAGTGAAAAGGAATCGGATGTCCCCAGAGAGTTAACTCTCCCTGGATTTATGGATGGGGCTGAGGCTACCTGGGGCTTCTTAACAGCAGGAACTCACCGTCAGCTCGCACACAGTACACATGTATTTGCATAACACCTGGGCCCGAGCTTTTACAACGTTAATTTGCCTTAACTTTATGCGCATTTGAGCAAGGAAAAAACCCACTGTAAACTTTCAGCAAATCTTAGAAGATGTTGAGAGATTGTCTTCTCAATTCAGGAGTATTTTGGTGCGTCTCTGTGTGTATTATTACAGGTGGTGACAGGTCATCGTGCTTGACTTCAGTAAATCATGATCGTTGTCATGATTCATTAAAAGATCCTTATTTGCTAATGAAATGAACGAAAAAACTTTTGGACATCTTAGAAATACTCCAACTAAGGCAGTTAAGTTGTAGAAGGCATCTCAACTACTTTATATGGTTGGTCTAGATATGTCATTTTCATGTCATATTTCCATTTGTTCATAAAGTTTACATTCTATAACTTTGATCGTTCCAAATTTTACTTTGCAGATTTCCATCTACTCTGAAATATACAATACTAAATATGGACAGTTGATGAGAAAAAAATAGTCTTTGGTGACTGGTAAGTCGTATATATACACACAATGTACCACACACAACAAAAATGGGAATTAAGTAATTATTTACAGAAATGAAGTTTAATGTCTTCACTCTTCAACATCTTAAACATCCGAAGGCTGTTTATCGCCCCCTGGTGGATGTTTTGTAGGACGTACGCAACATCCTCATCTGGCTCTGCACGAGTTGTCATGGCAACTGTACAGCTTACAAAACCAAAGAGCTTGACTGTTCACCGACACTTCAGTCAACATTCGACATCTGCGACGCCATCTTTCTCCCTCTCCTTACAGTATTAGTTCGAGGAGAAGACAGCAGGGGCTCGTTTCGCGTAGAAAGTGTCGAGCCATGAGCGGGGCGAAAGCACGCAGCGAGGCTCCTGTTGCCGAAAATGTCTCCGGCGGCGGCGGTGGGCACAGCGCCGCGGTTCCTCTGCGGGACCGGAAGCCCGGCGGCGGGGTCCTGAAGAGGCTGAAGTCCCGGAGAAGCCAGGTGAACAGCAGGCCCGTCACCGAGGAGGAGCTGCGGGCTCAGAGCGGACACATCACCCCGGAGGACGTGCTGGGACTGAGAGTGGCTACCAGAGGTTTGGCTTAATTGACTTCTTTCTGAATTTACGAATAGATATTTAACAAGGCAGACCCACACGTGAAAAAGAACTAAGAAATGAAACAGGGCTAATACAGCTGTTTGAAAAAAAAAGGTACACCTGACATGGTGTTGTACCTGTTCTAATGACTCCATATTTGGCAAAACACTCAGCTGTTAGACGTCACTAGTCTTCATTGTTTCTAAAGTCAAACCCCTCAATGGACACACACACACACTGGGTGTGTGATAATTGGAGCTTGGTTGTCTGCTATTGGTTGTGTTAAAATCATATCATGCTGTAAGGAAAGATGTCATTTATGAAGTACAACAGTGGCTTGAGCCTGGACTGATCAGGAAGGCCAGCTTTGGTACTCCGTAAAATAAAAAATAACAGCCGTGTTATGTGTGTCATGGCCCACTTTTACAGCTGTTAAGGCAACCAAATGAATTATGAAAGAAAAGCCAACTGTAAAGACTAAACTGAAATGTAGTCCAAGCTTATTCAGTTATTCTAATAATGTATTTTGGACCAAAGAAAGTAAATCTCCAACCATATTTTTGTTGTCCTCAGAAATATTTACCTCCTGTTTTACTGTAGTGGGGCAGGAGAAAGTAGTTCATTACCTTATTTTATGGTTATGTATCCAAAAGTAAATATGTAAACTTGTGTGAGTCTTTCCCTAAGCAAATATGTAATATGAGTTTCAGTAAAGTTTATGCTTTATATTGCATGTTCTTTTTGGATATGTCAATGCACCCCGGGAGTGTATCTCACAACAGTGGTTTTCTCTCTGTCATCTTTACAGGATACCTCTGTAAGACCGAGGACAATATTTTCAACATTGATTTTGTACGCTTTAAAATCAGAGACCTGGAGACCAACATCGTCCTATTTGAGATCGCCAAACCACCTCATGCAGGTACTCCATGCTGTTTTAATTCTGTTCTTAAAAAATGATGTGTTTCTCTGGTGCCAGTTGCTGCCAGTTGTCTGTCTTTGACATAAATGACTCCCAGCAAGTTTCTTGATTTGGATGTATCCATACAAATGTTTTTCAGCATGTATAATGAAAAAATCTCTTGATCTAACCCTCATGTTGGGGTGCTGTCAGGTGAGGATGAGGAGAACAGGGAGGGGGATGCCAGTGCGGGCCGATTTGTGCGCTACCAGTTCACACCAACCTTCCTGCGACTTAGAACCGTGGGAGCTACGTGAGTGACTCACAAAATCATTCACACACACCTATGAAGTATACGCTGACCTGTTCCACTGACAAATGTTGAAAACAATTGTGGCATTGTCTGGATTCAGCTACACACCCCACTGATTGTTTTTCTATGTGCACTGACTGTAATTACAGTATAATCGCAGAGAGTACAAAAAGTTGTTACATCTCAGTCTAACTTTTTCTTTCTGTATTTAATCAGAGTGGAATTCACTGTTGGTAACCGCCCTCTGAACAACTTTCGCATGATTGAGAGGCACTACTTTCGCGATCACCTGCTGAAGAGCTTTGACTTTGACTTTGGCTTCTGTATCCCAAACAGCCGTAATACCTGTGAACATATCTACGAGTTCCCTCAGTTGTCAGAGAGCCTGGGTGAGTCACATTTTCTCAGCTGGGAACCTAAAAAAAGCTTAAATGATTCCACATTATGAGTATTACTCTCAGCATGTGCTGTTTGTAAATGATTCGAGGAGAAGACAGCCCACAACTGTCCCACCCTATGCTCATATTTAGCTAAACTGGTTGTGTGAAAACTTGACAGCTGTCCTGTACAACCAACTGGCCTCTCTAATCTGTTTAGTGACTGCCATGCAGATGACATTAGGAAAGGGAGGAGGAACGGCAGTAAAGCAGTCTAAGTTCATACAAAGTGGGCAAGGGCTAACTTGACACCAACACTTGATACCAGCATCATATTAAATGAAATCTAAAGCTTTATCTCAACCAAACATTGATTTAAGGTTTTTGTGCAGATGAGCGACACCAAGTGGTTACCTAAATCCTGACAGTGTGTATAGGTCTGAAGGCTTTTTTTTTTTTTATCCCAGGAAGATTAGCACAACATCTGTATACAAAACACAGGGTGGATTTTGTAACAACAAAGAGGCCCAGAATTAGGTTTTTTGGGTTAACAAATCTTTCATATGCAAGTATACAAAAAACAAAACAAAAATGTAATGACCATATTAATCCATATCAAATGGTGCATAGACACCAGTTTATACGCCAAACATGAGGTGCATTTGCATTATAGCAGTAACCTTACTTATATTAATTACTAATTAGATTATTTTTCTTTAGATCAAACCTGGGAATTTTACAAATATCTAATAATTATAATAATAATATGTAACTAATTCTTTAACATTCCCAACTGTACTTTCAATTTGTCTATGATTGAAATTAATTTTCATTGACTTAACATCCATACTGTAAACCAAACAGTTTTTGAGCAGTCCTTGAGATTTTATTATGATTTTATAACTTTTATATATTTCTGTTAACCTGTTTATTGTTGTTTGTATTGGGATGTATTAATGAAACTAGTTTAGGCTTGATGAGGATTATGATTAGATCCACCACTGACATCATCAGTGGTCAAAAATTCACTGAGAAGATAACTTTGCTTTGTATCTACTTTTGGTATTAACTTAATAATATATAATCGCCCGTTTCAGAACCACTGGTTGTGTCATCATGTCATGTTCAGATATGAGAGGATTGTCAGTGAATGTGTCGGTAGGAAGCAAAGCCCTTCCCAATAAACAGCGACCCCAAGATTTGGCACAAAGTTCGTTATTCAGCAGACGTTTAGTTTTATGCAGTTCCGCACAGTTCTGATTTCATGCATATTTACAATCCTTTGCTGGGTCATTGATATGCACATACTGTCTTTTTTGCAGTGCGTCAGATGGTGGAGTGTCCTTATGAAACCCGGTCAGACAGCTTCTATTTCGTCGACAACAGGCTGATCATGCACAACAAGGCAGACTATGCTTATAATGGAGGACAGTGATGCCAGCTTCTTGTGCAAATACACACTCAAATCTGCACACACACCCTCTTAGTCATATTTATTCATATATATGGACACAGATGCATGCACATGGTGGTTCATACAGCTGCAACACTCTAATAAGCACAGACAACGTGGTTGAGCTTCTTTTTGTGAAGATATACATCAACTATATTGGTGATTCAATTTTGTGGGGTTATATTTTATATTACTTGAAGTTAATATATTTCTGTACTTACAAACAAGGTGCAGGTCCAGACCCAAAATGGGTTGATTCAACTATTTTTAATAATTGATAGATCTCTTTGATACAAGAAGAGGGCTCACAACTCCAGACCATGTAACATGTGTTTCAAACAGGCCAAATGGCTCTTTGGATAAATGCTTAGTTCCCTTTTCAAGTGTCCACGCAGCACCCATTCAGCACACCCACACACACTCACACGTATACATTTGAAGAGACACAATCCCCAAGTGACATACGCAGTTTTTACACAGTGTTTGTCAGGAGCAGCTGCTCTCAGAGCCGACATGTCCACAATCCACTCCAGACAACATTGAGGCAGAAAAGACAAACCACCCACAAAAACATTCCTGTCAAACACACACAATCCCTCCTGTGGTTTGTTCCCTGCCTCCCTCTCATTTTTACACAAAGACACAAATCAACAATTGTAATGAGTAAGAACCTGATCAAAGGTTTCATTCATTTTTACCTACTTACATTTTTCCACATGAAAATAGATAAAATAATGGTTAATCATCAAATGATTTTAATCATGATAATTAAACCAGATAGTTCAAGGCATTTTACTTATTTTAAAGAATGTTTTGAAAAATAGAATATTTACCAATGTGACTGTGATTTCTGGATCTTTAATGATCCAGCACCTCTCTCCATATCAGAAGTTGGCATATTTCAGGAAAATATTTTTTTTTTCTTGCCAGCTGGTGTGTTCATTGTCTTTGTACTTAAGTTAACTATGACAATAAATGTGCATTTTCAGATACAGAATGTATGATGTTTCATTTCTGGGGAGGGCACACGTTAAGGGGAAATAAAGAAAGTCCCATAAGTGGCCGCTAGGAGGAGCTGCTCCATAGCAAAGTTCTAGATATGTACTGGCAATGCATGCTGGCTGAGAAACACACTTTTTTTTTATTTGTGCCTAATATTTAGCTTTTATAATATATTATTGTTTGTTATAATGCTAACTTTCATATATGAGATAGTTGTGTTTATTTTGTAGTATTTACTGACAACTTCTGATGATAATTTGGTCTCTAGTGATGTATGTGGCATAGCACAAAATTATTGTTTAAATGTGTTTAGGAGTGCTACAACCTTTATTGATTTTTGCAGTCTCCAGGGCCTTTTACAAATCTCAGTGTTTATTCATACTGCTTCTTCCCTTACTTCTCGATATCCCCGTCTCTAGCTCCCAAGCCCTAAACCTAGATTTTTTTTCTTTCCCTCTGTTTCTGTTTCTCTCCACACCTATGCAGCTCGCACTCCTGCTCTCTTTTTTCCCTCTGTCTCTCTTTTCTTTCCTCTGCTCTCACCTGGTAACCAGACCTCTGGAGAGGAGTGTTGAGTTTCCACTTTCCCAGAGAAGAGGACAATCTGAGCCACACAAAGACCCACAATGGACCCCCTCTGCTCACTCCTCCCTTCACTCCGACACTGCACAGCTGCACACACTCACAGAAACAGACACTGAGAGAACATACAGTCTTTGTTTTTATTTGCTCTTTTCTCTTCATTTGATTTCTTTCTCAGTTTTTTGTGTGACGCTTTCCTTCATCCTTACCACAGCCAAATCCTCTTCATTTGATTCCCGCACCACTGTTATCTCCCTGTACATTGTTGTTCTCACGGACACCATGCAAGTTTCCACCTTTCTCTGTGCCTTGATACACTTTGCAATGTTACATTAGGCTGCTGCTGGGAGATAAAAGACCACTGCCGATGGCCCACTGAGATGTCCCCTAATCTTTAAATGTTATTGAGAACCTCTGTTGTTGCAGCTGTGACCATGAGGCTTCGCCGACAGGAAGTGGTCAAAGTTTTCAATTTTACAGCAGAAGTAACTGATGTTTGGAGCCCCACCGACACAATGTCATAGCACAAAGTGCCATGCCGTTTTAGAAACCTAGTCTTTGCTAAAACTTGCATCTATTCAGTGCTCAACGTTTTTTTTAATCAAATGTTGAGACGAACATAATTTTTCTTAGTTCTGAAATACTCCAGTACATTTTTGCATGTAGTTGCCAGTGTTGTCCACCCGTATCAGTCTATTGAAGAGCAGTGTGAATGGTCCATGCCATGATGCTGGGGCCAGGAATAGGGGAAAAGAAAAACACAAAACCACAATGTCAATGACCATGAGTAATTAGCATACTAGGATGTAATATTATGCAGACATTTTTAATAGTAGAAGTATAAGCTATTTAAACGCTTTACAGAATTAATAAGAAGTAATCCAATAGCTGCAAAATATATTGTAGAGGTCCAAAGCTACTTTTACATTTCTCAAAAATAACTTTATTGTAAATAGTAAAGCAAAAAAAAAAACTGTTTTGTATTCATTGTTTTCCTACAATAAATACAAAACCCCAACGAGCCTGACCAAATTGGACTGCACGAGTGTGGAGGTGTTAGGATGATGACATTTACAGATGTCACAATGAATGTTCAGAGACATGTAGGAAATAAGACAAGATGACACCAAGTCATCAAAGGTAGAACATTCAGTAAGATGATAATAAAAAAACATAACCAACACTGCACAGTTTCCTAAAACGTGAAAAGAGAGCTAACTAAGTCCATATGTGGATACTGCTGACCTACTTAACTTTATAGATATTTCGATAAGTTAACACTGTTGTTCACCGACGTAACCCTTTAAACAACCACCGTCTGTAAAAAAAAATAAAAAAGCGTTGAAGAATTTGACTTAACTCATTTTTTTCCTGATAGGGGGTAAAAATGTAGAATGCAAAATAGCTGCTGATGTTCAGACCGTATGTGGCAGTTGCTCATTAGACCACAAACAGGGTGCAATTTAACTCTGAGCTCATAAATCAATAACCACAGCCTTCCATCAGGCTATCCAGCCTGCACACTGCTGCTCACGCACTAAACAGCTGTACTGTACACAACTGTGAGTGGCTATAACAGGAATCCCACCATATCCACTTTTGACTCTGTACAGTTAGGGGAAGTACCAGTATCCATGGCAATAAATACATACACTTTCCAGGGATGATTTGTGCATTGTCAGGCCTTCGTGGAATATCTCTCAGCAGTCAGCTCTGGATCAACACATACGCACCGGAAACAACAGGACAGGTGGGATAAATCAACCCCCTTCACCCCACCCCCTAAACACAAACACACTCACACACATCTCCGTACCTGCCATCTCCATATATTCTGCTCGGTGAATCACAGCTCACAGAGATTAGGAATGAGAGGAACTGCTTTATTGAGGTTCCCCTAAAACACGCAATCTCCCTGTCATACACTCGCATGCACGCGCGCACACACACACACACATGCGTATCAACACTGGCAGGGGAAAGGGGGGGACAGTAGTCTCCTATAAATAGAAGCAAGGAATGGCGTTGATAGGTCCCGTGAAAAGAAATGGAGGGGGGGAGTGGAAAAAGGATTAAAAGAGATAGAGGGACACTCTGCGACTCCTCTTCTCCATGTGTGTCTGTGAGGTGCTCCGGAAAAAAGGTTGCATGGATTTCTTGCCATCAACACCACCTTCCTTGATTAAAAGAAAAGAAAAAACCCCAATCCATCCTTGCTCTTCCCGCACACACACACACACACACACACACATCATCTTCATTGCTCTTTCCTTCTTCCTTTCCTGCTTTATATTCATTTTCTGCCTTTCACTCACCAGGAACCCAGGTCCCGTTGCGAGATCCATCATGTGTTAAACCCACATCACCTTCGAAGAGCGGATGAGTCACCGCACAGCCTTCTCTTTTAGGTCAGCGCGGAGATGGTCTCAGAGATGGTCGTGACTCCATCTGTATGTGTCAGTATGTCATTCCCCGCAACTGCTGTGTGACTTCATCCTACTCCGGGAAGAGGTCGGGGTAGAGGTGCAAGATGATGCATCTTCTGTAAACATGAGCAAACATCGGACGTCATTTTGATCACAACTACATTTTTGTAACATCCGTGCTGTGATACAAAGGTGGGGGATATACTTTGTCAGTTAAGAAGAAAGACAGAAAAATCGCATTTTTGGAATAAACTGTCGCTGTAACTCCATGGCATACCCTGCTAAGCTTTATAGATGTGACAAGAGATAGGAGGTAATTAGTTATCTCCAAGTTAATGATGCACTCAGAGCAGCAGTGATGGATAGACAGTCCTTTAACAAACTCCGATTCCCATACCAATTTCCATGGTGGCAAGTGCAGTATTGACAATCTGTCTTTAAGTGTTAGGCCTCTGCTGATTTGTACCCAGAAGCCTTTGTGTGGCTTTTGTGTGTGTGTTGGTGTGTGTGTGTGTGTGATGTTCCTGCGTCCGGCGGCCGGCCGGTAGCCTGTCTGTGTGGTATTACAGCACAGATTTCCGCTGCTGCTTACCCCCATGCGGCCGTCAGACAGAAATAGTCCAGTGTCATTAAGGTAGATAGGCTGTGTGGTGTGTTTGCACTCACAGGAAGCCCAGAGTCACTTTTGGAAGCCTCTAAGAGCTTTCCAGCACCATCAGTCCACTTTGTTTTGTGTGGGTATGTTTAATAAAAGGTTAACTCAACCCACAGTCAACTGTTGCATGTAAATCTCCCCTTCAATCTCTTCCTTCCTCTGCCTTTCTCCCCCCCCCTTTGTCTCTCTCTGCTTTTGCCACACCTTGCCCCTGAGGGATGCAGGGATTGTGACTGGAGAACGGAGGTGGAGCTCCTGGCACATTCACAGGTGTGCCTGCTTCCTCTAATCCTTCTCATGTAATGATTTCTTCAGCCCGCCACCTGCCAGGTGAAAAAAACACCCACAGCAAATGGAGTGCTCCCGGCTTCCGCTTGGAGGGAGTTTTTGCTTGTTCAAACATTCCATTTTTTTTACCCCCCCTTTTTCATTATCCACCGACTGCATTCAATTCTTTCAGGAACTACTTGTTGCTTGTTTACATTTTGCATCACATTCAAATGATGGCTTGTGGCTGTAAAAGCTCCCGCTGCAGCTGAGGCAGGCAGCTGACAGACACAAAGCAAGGAGCTTTTTAGGACGATCAGAGGATGGGTTTCTAACTCTTTTCTATAGAGTCCTGTCCTCAGCTCTTTTTCAAACTGCCTTGAGGGTGGTGGAGAGCAAGTCCCAGGCCCCGGCAGGTCAGAGGGCACTCCCAGACAAAAGCCTCCCACTCCGGGTCAGCTGTGGTCAAGGAAACAAAAGCAGCGAAGACCTGGATTAGACAAACAACCGCAGTGTGCTGAGGTGGCCGAGTGACAGCAGGACAGAGGGATGGAGATGGGATGGAGCAGTGGAGGCCAAAGAGTGCAGTGAAAATCTCTCACACACTGACACGTCCACCCACACACACACATGCACAGTTGTGTAAATTTTGCCTCTTCGTTTACTTAGCCAGAATTTTAAATCAGCCAAGACTGTTGCCTAAGCCCATAAAACAAGTCAGAGTTTTCTCAAGCCGAGAAAATCTGTTTCTCGTTGCCCCTGCCCTATGTCTTGATTTCAAATAATAATCACTCGCAAAAAACGCACTTACTTTGGTATCATTGAGATAAATGACTTTGCTTTATTTTCTGTCTTTTCACAGCACCATAACTTGTTCATTCCCTTCCCCCATACCTCTGTCTTTCTCTTCTCTCCCTCTCTTTTTTTTTTTTCTTTTTTATCCACTGCCATTGATCATGCATGCAGAAATTCAGCACGCCCAGCCATGGTTCCAGCCGGGATAGGTTAGTTAGCGCGAGCCCTGTCCTACATACTGTTCTCTCTCTCGCTATGGTCCACCAGGCCACAGTCACACCCTCCCCCTGACCTGCCTCTCCTCACTGACACACACAAACACCCCGCGGGCCTTCTCAGAGCCGGTACATGCACAGATCATCATGTGGTGTTGGAAATGCTCTCCTCTCAACTGAACACTGCAAATTTCAGTCAGGTGGAGAAAGAATTAGTTTTTTTGATCATGTATATATTAGATAGTACAAACAGAAAACAGGTTGCTTCATTTAAATGTTGCCCTAAATATTCACCAGAGGAAATAATTATTTAAAGCTAGATATGTTTGGTATGGCCCTTAAAGTTCCTCCAAAATCATTGCACACAGCATTATGGTGCAAAATGTTAGTTTCTCTTTCTCAGGTTCACATTATAATGAATGAGGCAAGTGCATGCTCCTCTCCTGGTTCACATTTATCACAGTGGCCGAGGTACATGATGAAACTGCTCAGCTGACCAGGCCCGCCCCAGCCAAGAGTAGGGCTGACTTAGAGGTAATGCTCCTAATCTTCCACTTAACTGGTTAGGACAACCTGTCACATGGGTTAAGGGAGAAGGTTATTAGGTGAGGTCAGGTTTAGATGGGGGGGCTAAACTGTGTCGGGGTGACTGGATGAAGAATCGGGAGAGGGATGCACAGTGGTGCTCAGTGCTGTTCTAGATAGAATGGATCGAGAAAGAGCAGATGCTACAACTGTGGGCACAGAAGCGAATGATGGTTGAAAGGACAGAAAGTGAAAAGGGCTGGCTGCATGCTGTTTGAAACACAGGAAACTACAACATGAGACAGTTTGTGATTCTGACATGTCAAAAAATAGAGTCGAATTATGTTGCATTACAAACAATCAGATTCATTGAAATATAATCACACAAAATAAGTGATAAAACAGCTCTCATCACATTTATAAGATCAAATGGCAAAAACACACTCACCATTTCACCGCTTTACCACACCACGCAACCACACAGAAGTCAAGTTTGTGGCAGAGCATTTCACTATTTAGCCTCTTTTTATAATTGTTTTATACCTCTGTTTAGGATTGTTTCGATTTTTGTCAATTGGTCAGATTTAGTCTCACTTGAATAGCTTTCACTGCTTGTTTTGTTTTGAAATGCTTTCTGTTTGATTTCCATTTTATTGAAGCATCAAATTACCTAAGATTAATACAGAAAAAGCAACACTTCACATAGCTTATTCAGTATGATAATCGTCTTCCTTTGTTGTTGTTGTCTATTCCCTCTACACCACCAAATATTTTTTCTATTTGGTGACATTTGGAAATGCTACCCTTACATTCACTTCACAGTTTTATGGAAACACAACTGTAATCCCCTCCTTTTTATGCTTCCAATGTCTGTTTGTGGTCATTTTAAGGACCTGAAAGGCTGTTCGGTGTCTTGTTTGGATTATTTTACATCCCGTTAGCGTGGGCTTTGTTTAAAGCAAGCTAAAGATGGCGATTGAGCCTTCCGACTTACTTATAATGATGAGTATTTTATGTTGACGTAGATCCCTCATGGATCTAAGCATGTCCACAATAATGACAAAACGAGAGGAAAAAAACATTAAGGCAAACAAAAATGGTATTGAAAAAGCAAATATTACCTTACTTTCTCACTAACTGAATTCTCTTGAAAACGTTTTGTTGTTTTGTATGTCTGTACTGTGTATTATGAGGCTACAAGTGAGCTGACTGTTCTATGACCCATAAAGAAACAACGTTTCGTTACTGTTTGTGTGAGAGATTATATTAATTTAGCAACTATTTCTTGTATTGCATTGTTAGTCTCTTTGAACATTTCACTTGTAAAGTCATGCAAAATACATATACAAAATATAGATACAGTTGATCAGTTGTATAGTTGAATGTGTCAGAAGTAATAGATTAAAAAATCATCAGAACTTCACAAGGTTATAAAATGAGGTAATCTAACCTCTGTGGAGAAATGTCTCTGCAGATTGCAAAGTCTGACCTTGGTGGAGAGTTTGCTCAGAACTCTACTGCTGGGAAAACTGGCAGCTGCCTTGAATATTTTCTTCCTGGGAATTACTTTTAATAATCCTGAAGGAAGCTCTAAAATCCTTCCCAGGTTGCATGGCTGTAACAGTTGCTTCTCTAAAATGATTGCTGACCTCTGTCAATCTTTGTATTTTGCTAACGGGCACCTGAATGCCCCACACCGGCAAACTGACCACAGTTCTGCTTATAGACGTGCTCACGCTCACTGGTTACCAATAAATCCAGCAAATCTCATCATGGCACGGCCTGGATAGGCCCTGCTCCTTACACACTGTGGCTAAGGTTTTGCTCAGCAAGTAAAAACATGATGTGCTATTCCTTGTGTCATATTTGATCTATATCATTTTAAATCCTGTGGAGGAGTGAGTGTTTTTTCGTCATTTAACTTTTTTCACATGACTTTAGTGGCCCCCTTAACTCGTCTGGGCCATAAGCCCTTTCCCAGTAGGCCAGCTTAATAATGTTCATAGACCAGAGGCCTAAGCTGGCGCCGCAGGAAGACATTGCTTTCACTTTTCTGGACCCTTTTGCCCGAAATCATACGCCTAAATTCAGCTGAAGCCTTCTGGTGAACGGTCAGAAATATGTCCCCCGCTCACATTTTTGCCATGATCACTTCTCCATGATTCCAGGTGTGTGTCCACCAGATCACTTCCTGGTTTCCAGCTCTTCTAGCACTCTGGGGATGATGCCTCCACAGGTTTCTGAACAGATGAGGAAAGCGACCGGGGTGGGGGGGGGGGGGGGGGGGAGATCTCACACCACTCAATATGCTTTAATGGGCCATGCTGTTGCGATCAACCAATGACAGGAACGGCGGGGAAACACTACAGAGAGAGCGCCTCTGGCTGCACGGATAAAGGCAGGCAATGTGCAGGAGGGGAGGGGAGGGGAGGGGAGAGGACGGGAGGGGAGGGGGGAGGTTCAGGAGAGGGGAGGGGACGGGAGGGGGGCGGTCCGCGGCTGGGTTAGGCTACGGGAAAAACGAGGTATAGAGGCGGAGCCTGTCTCCGAGCGCATACGCATTCGTGTGTTTCCTCGCTCAGCCCTCCTCTTTTTCATGCTCCCCACCCCCACCTCCGCTGCCCCATCCCCTCCACACACACCCCCTCCCCACACCCCCCTCCCATCGTGCTGCCCGCCCCTGAGTCTGGAGCAGCAGCAGCAGTGGAAGCCCGACTGCCTGCCCCTCGCCTCTCAGTGCGGGACTACAGCAGCGGAGAGCGGAATGGAGACGGAAGGGAGCCAGAGCAGCACGGACAACTCCCCCCACGACCCCTGGTAACCGCCTCAGCCCCCGGCCCCGGTCCCGGCCCCGGTCCCGGCTCCAGCTCCGGCCCGCCTCGAGCCCCCCCCTTGCTTTGAGTTCACCTTGGACTTTAGTTGAGTTCGGTGCGGGGAGCGAGAAAAACGCGCCGAGACAAAAGAGCAGCGCGCCGTGTGTGTGTGTGCGCGCGTCCCTGCGTGCGGGATGGAGGAGACACAGACGCACCGCTGCTTTCCGTCTGCACCCCCCCCCCCCCCCCCCCCCCCCCCCCGCCGCCCCCCCCACTACCACCTCCACCTCTCCCTCCCACCTCTCTCTTGTTTGTTTATTTACCGCGGTTTTTCCTCCACAAGGCCACATTGCAACTTCTCCTCCATCCTCTGGAAAATCCTCTGCTGTGTTTTCCTCCTCTAGGGGATTATAACGGCCCGGCTGGCCGATGGGTGACTTCGCAACATGGCCGATGCTTTTTTCTTCTTACTTTATTGATGCTTTTTTTTTGTTGTTGTGTGTGTGTGCATAGAATTTGGCACACATTTACCCCCCCCTTAAACGTGCCTGTGCTGTGTACTTGAAAGAGGCGATGGTATTGTGTGTGTGTGTGTTGTGTGTGACTGACGGCCTGTGTTTCTCTCATTCAGCAAAATGTTCATCGGGGGTCTGAGTTGGCAGACAACACAAGGTGAGCCGTCCCGCACGCTACTTTCACAAGTCTGGATGAAAAGGCTCCTGCTTTTTTTTCGCATCCATCTGGGTGCCCTCCATAATGGCTTTCGTGTACCATGTGAGCTCTCCGCTGAAGTTAAGCAGAAACACTGTAAATAGTTCAATCAAAGCCCCCTATTCACTAAGGATCAGCTCTTAGGATTTAGGCTCGCCGAGACGCAGGAGATTAAGGCTGGAAATCGCGCACATACAGCGGCTTGTCTGCCTTTCCTTGTGCACTCGTTGCGCCTTATATCCGAGGCAGATACCTCGAGTAAAAAAAGTACGGTCGGTTGCGTGGATTTCGAGCAGAAGTTGTGCTCTCACTAACGTCCACGCTTCGGCTGTTGTTTTCCTTCTTTTTTGCGCTCCACTGGATCCATTCATGTGTGTGCAGAGCCGTGAGCGCAGGCTGGTGCATGAATACACTTTCCTCCAGTTTCCTCCTGCTGCCCTGGCCCGTCTTATTATCCCCTCTGCCGGTGCCGGGCTCAGATAGCTGCGTTTATTGTGGTCCACGGGACCTAACAGGCTACTTTATGCTTTATGGTCACATAGCGAATGTGCAATCTCGGAGTAGAGGGGGGGGGGGTACAAACACAACGTGGTCCAGCCCGACCCCATTGTGTCTCTCCGGCCACTGGGAGCCTGCACCCCTAAGTTCATTTGACGCTATTTGCTTGTTTGTTTGTTTTTTTTTTTTGCAGAGGGCTTGAGGGAGTATTTCTGTAAATTCGGCGAGGTGAAGGAGTGCATGGTGATGCGGGATCCCGTTACCAAGCGGTCGAGGTAAGAGGGAGGCGTGTGCGCCCCGCCGTCCTATCACTGGATGCCTCATGCTCCTGCTCGCTTTTCTCTATGAAGGGTGTCTGGACTGCCTTGGGTTTGCCTTCAGATCTGGCGTGCTTGTCTCCTTCCTCCGCAGGGGGTTCGGCTTCGTAACGTACGCAGAACAGGCCGGCGTGGAAAAGGTTCTGGCGCAAAACAGACACGAGTTGGATTCCAAAACGGTGAGTTTTGGGGTGATTTTGAACAACTACATGGCACCCATAGGGTCTTTTTTTTTATATCTGGGTGTCTGTGTAGCTTGTTTTTTTTCTTCTTTCTTCTTCCTCCTCGTGCGTTTTGCCTCCCACCGTATGGCTTGTAAAGTTTAGGAGTGCGTTTTGGAGCAGCCACCCTCCTCCTCCTCCTGTCTGCTCATTTCCCCCTCCAAATCCCGGTCCAGGGCGCCAACATGAAAGCGTTCTTTCTTGGTCTTCATTGCCATGGTTACCTGGGGACCTGAATGGGGTAGGAGCCCCTGCAAAACCCTCACAGGTTTTATGCAGGCCAGAGAGCTCACAAGTTTGTTCTGCTTCTTTTTGGTCACAGCGGCGTTTCTTTTTTTTTTTTTCTTGTGATTCTTTTTCTAAAGTGGTAACTCTCCCAGTTTGAGGGAAGGAAACAATGAAGCAGAAGATTCTAAACTTAATGCAGGGGAAGTGTGTGAGGTCCAAGTGAGTTTTTAGATGTTATTATTGATACATCTCTGAGATTTATACAGTGATTGAAGAGCTCCCGCTGATTGGAGTGCTGGTGTCTAAGAAATCTTCCCTCCTTGACTTCTGATTTGTAAAAATTCAAATATGTGCAAATGGGAAAAATCACTTGCCTGAGACTTTTCGTACTCATATAAAGCCATAAAAAATGAGCGTGACTCCCGATAGTTTGTTTGATTAGAGGCAGAGCCCCTGACCTCTATTTGAATATGTATGGCGGTGTGAGTGTTGCTCTCTTGGTCATGTAGATGGGTTTTAGGAACAGGGACGGGGTGTGTCCACGCCAGCCTGTGGTCCTCTCCTAACCACACATGCACACACACTCACACTCAATAGGATCATTTGAGAGTGAAAATCTGTGGTACAGAAAGGCAGCAGAGCCCTGGGGGGGGGGGGGGGTTAGAAAGGTAGAGTTGGTTAGTTGTTGGAGCAAGTCTGTTGCCGGGGGTGACACCAGCCTCTGGAGACGGTGCTGTAACTGCACAACCCAATGGGATTTATGTCTCCATAACAACTTCTCAGCTATTTTGCATTAACTTAAGGCGCTGGGCTCAGTCAGGCGGCAGAGCCCTGACACACACACACACACACACACACAGATAATGTCAAGTCACGTAGGACTTTTCCACTCAGTGTGCGCGCGGCATTTTGTTGGAAGTATAAAGCTTCAATTAACAAATATTCGAAAACGAATAGATTCTTCCGTACGGCCGCTTTAAATTGATCGCAAAACAGTCATGTTTGCTTCAGAACCGGAGAAGGAGCAGCAAAGTGTTACTCGGTGACTCATATTACCTCTTAAAACTAGGTACTGCTGGAGTCTCCGTGAGCCAGACCCCGGGTCTGTGTGTGTGTGTGTGTGTGTGTGACGTGAACACTGGTTTGGAGGCTCGTGGGAGCTCAGCTTGGCAGGCCGCTGGTGGGGTTAGGCGTTGCCCTATTATAAACCAAAATACAGTGTAAGGCTAAACAATAATAATGTTAACGGCTCTCATGCAGCAGCTCTGGGTGCTCAGGTTGTTGTGGTAGCGTTCTGGCGGGGTGGGGAGGCACGCCATAGCATCATTTAGCCAACCGGCTGCTCTTGACAGCGGCATGGATGCCATTTTAATATTCCTCCTCTGAAATAAGGGGGTCGGTTAATTTATTTGTTATTAGAATTATTTTTTCTCGGCACAAATTGAAACCCCAGAGACAAAAAGGCTTAATGTCGGAAAACCTTGGTTTTATTTAGCTAAATTGAGCCTATAGTTTCCTGTACGGCGTGTTTCTGAAGCACCTGGATTGTCCCTCCTCACCATTGTTTCATCAGGACGGGTAAAGACATTCCTCCTTTGAGCGAGGAAAAAAATGTGATGATCTGATGTTATGTGTAGCTTTTGGGTTTACAAAGCTCTGATATGGCAGCACATGGTGCGAGCTGAAGCTATGCGAAGTGGTGCAAGGTCCAGCTGGTTAAAAGTGGTATTAAACATTTACAGTCCTGTTACATCCTGCCTTTTTTTGTCTATTTCTTTAAGTCACAGGCTAAATATCAACAGAACCTTTGAAAAGCTCCCCTTACCTGTGTTTCAGAAAACCAGAACACAAACGTGAGGTGGCCTATTGTTTCCAGAGAGGTTGTTGTTTTGGTTGGAGGTTAGATTTCCTGTCGGGGTAGAGTATGGCCTCGGGGCTGTGGTGTGCAGTTGTGTTTCTCTGGACAGAGAAGAAGGGCAGAACTGGTATTTGTTTTTCTGAGAAGTGATTTCCTAGAACCAAGCAGAGGAAGACTGAAAGAAGAGCAGATATTGTCCGGGAAAAAAACAATTACCTTTCGTCCTGGTGACCTAACGCAGTTTGTGGCGTGCTCGTAAGTGATGCTGTGTATTTTTTCATCCCTCCTTTTCACGTTATGGGTCTTGTGCTGAAAGGTCAGAGGCAAATGACAGGGGAGAAGTGTTATTTATTTAGGGGCAATTGTCCTGAGGAAACCTCTTCTTTCAGTATGTGTCTTTCGGTGGAAGTGGACAGAGAGAGGAGCTCTTTTATAGCCCTATGTTGTCTGTATACACACACACACCCACACTGTCACAGCAAATGTGGAGCTGTGGCGCCACAATCTTCACTGTCCAACACCTGGCCACCAGAGAGATTAGGTGTGACTCTTCGTTCCTGACTGGAAGATTAGCTGTTAATGCTGACATGGACAAAACTGGAGGTGGGGGATGGAGAAGGTGAAGAATAGGAGAGAGGGGAGGGGGGGGTGTAATTAGTATGGATCTGAAAAGCAACTAATCGGATTGAAGGAAACAAACTGGATTGGGCTTCTAAGGTCCATGCTCTCAGATGTCCCGATAAAGCCCGGGCCTGCTCGGGAGGTGGATCCAGGACGCTCTCAGACTGCGCTGCGTGCACCACCCCCACTCCCCCGCCACACATCCCGCCCTGGCTAGTTGCTCCTGGAAAAGGTGTGGGGTTAAGGACAGGGTGGGGTCAAAGGTCCTCATTAGCATGCTTCGTTACTTAATTATTGTGCCGGCGTTCAGCCGTGCAGATTGACTGCTGGCCCGGGCCCAAAAACAAGTCTCCTTCCCTCACTCTGTGGCTAGTATTGACATGCCAACTGTTTTTGTCTCCTCTTGTGTTTATAGCTTTTTGTTTATAGCTGATATTGATTATGCTGCTGTAATGGGGTAGCCTGTGGTGCTCTTTTATCAGTATGTGTGTGTGTGTGTGTGTGTTTGCCATTTCGCTGTGAGAGTGTCTTGGCAGGCTGGTCAGCCTCAACGTGCCTAAATGTGAGAGGATTTCAAACCGGCCCATCAGCATTTGTGTGTGTGCGACTCCGAGCTCCTGGCCCATGTAATCACACATATATGTCGCCGTGTGTGTGTGCGTCTGCTGGTTTGTGCAACATTACCGGAGTGCTACACAACATGTGCATATATGTATGTGGGCCGGTGGGGGTAGCACAGGAGCCCCAGTTCCTCTACGGCCCATCTGTTTTGCACTCTTTGTCCTGTTAATTAATGAAATCAGAGGCGCTGCCTGCTGAGACGGCCCCGCTGGACAGCCCCACTCTCTCATGGCCAGACTCCCTACTCCACACAAACGCCTCATTTCTGCTCTGTGCTCTCCCCGTCTACTTATCCATCTGTTGATTTGATATTCTTTTTGTTTTCCCATTATTGTCTGTTTTCCAGTTTGTAACTTGGGCGGATGCTCTGCGCCACCTGAGGTGACTATTGGTTGTAGAGTAGTGTTGTCCCTCCGAAGCTAAACCACTAAAATCGAGTCGTAGGCTCCGCTGTCGTTTTGCTGCTTAGACTGAGCGGAGGTCGGATGTCATGAAGCAGGATGTTAGTCAGACCATTTCACGAACACTCGGTTGTAACTCTTTTTCTGTCTGGCCCGGCAGAGCAACTTTTCCCCTGCACTCCATTTTTCATGTGTATTCACATTTCCACCTGTCTGATTGGGACTGCTACATGGCCGAGCCTCTCCTCATATGTCAGAGCTCTGCAGCGCTACGTCTGAGTGTTGCAAGCAGTGACCTGGCTAAGTCATTTTACTTTTTGCTTTGTGGCCGCTCCGTCTTCCTTGAGGCTAATCTGCCACTCCGATAGCTGCTTTAGTTGTCGTTTTTATTACTGCCTCCTTTTGAGAACAGCCAGATGTAGAAATGGCATTTTTAGATATATTCTGTTCCCTCGCGGAAGTGAACTGATTTTTATTTTAACAGCATGGCATGACATGTAGTCGTAGTAGCACTGTTTTAGGTCTAACCTAGTCCAGTCGTTTTGGAATGCTTTTCTAAAAGAACTGGGTTCAACGTAAAAGCTAACAAAAAAGTGTACTTTGCCAAAAAGGGACTTTTGAATGGGTACAGTGTCCATATGCCACACTGCATGTGAAACCTTCTGTGTGTTTAGTGCCTCTGATAGCGTTTTGTCATATTGAAGAGATTTTTTGTATCATGAAATAAATAATAAAAAGATTTTTAAAAATCTGCCTAAATCCCACTCCTATTAATACGTATGTTTTCAAGCTGGTACCAACAATCAGCATCTCTCTGATGAGCACATTTGCAGGACACAGTTTCATCCGGTGATGGTAAAATCAGAGCAAAACTTTGTTTTTCCACTTTAGTATATGAGAATATTTTTTTCCTCTTCAGTATTCGTCGTGCGAGTCGTTATGTGACTGCGGTTTTATGTGAGTTGTCATTGTCAGCTCGTTGTCCATCTGCGCCTCTGCCTCACACGCGCCTCGGGCAGCTGTGGTCCTCTTGTCATGTTAGAGCAGTTAAAGGCAGGTGGGCTGAGATGGACGTCGGAGGCTTCTCGGGTCAGGAGTCAGATGAAACTGTGGCCATGTTGCACAGTAATAAGTGCCCATTTATTCATGGTTTTTGTTAGTTTTCACTATCTTTCATTATCTTTTCAGTATCTTTTTTCTTCTTGCATGAGCTGAGTGCTTTCTAGTAGGGTGTCTGGCTGCAGTTTTTTTCCACTGGACATAAACAGTGAGAATTTAACTTATGTGGTGTATCCTGTTAAAGGACAAAAAGCACCGTCACATAGTTGGTGCACAGTCGGTCTTATCTCTGTTAGGTAGGTTTCTCCCATTGTGCGCTGATGCTGTTTGAAAAGCTGCGTTGCCTTTGTGAGCGTGCTCTGCTGTTGTTACCAGCTGCCTTTGGTGGCTTCGCGTGTCCTTGTCACCTTTTTTTCTTTGTGTTTAAACCAGCTGGAGGTGACATGACTCTTTCCCATCTTTACGTCTCACTTCAAGGTGCAAAGTCCTTCTGCAATCCCTTCCAAGGGCGCTGCAGCTGCATCTTAGTTGCAGAGTGCTGCGCTCTCGCAGCAGTGGTAAATCTGAGGCACTTAAAGGCCCTCCTAGAGATAGATTTGCCCAGTGCATTTGTCATCAGAAGCATGCAATTATCACAAAAAGAGATGAAAGGATTTTTTTCTTCATTATTGAATGAAGGCCCTCTTTAGTATCATGTGTATTGTCCACATTACAAGTAATTATTTTTAGCTGTTTGATAGACTCTTTTTAGTTGCCAATATCAATTCAATATCTCTAATAGTGTCTGAGTGAGACACAAGGGGCTTTGCTTCACGCATCCAATTACTACAACAAAGATGGAACTCTAAGACCCTAATACACTACAAGGTCCTGTGACCTAAGATAATCTCGTTCGTTGGCTTGTGAGTGAATAGTACAAGATTCCTTGCAAATTTAAAATGCCAGGCCAGGCTTTGCATATTTAGCATTATTAAAGGCCAGCTCATTCGGGTCTCATATACTTCTAATTTTATCTGTAACCTTGACCATCGCTGAGACATTCCAGTGGGAAGAACGATTGATACAGTCAAATCAAGCCGGTCCAAAATGGAGGCTGTCAGGATTTGTGAGATTTAAAAAACAAAACAGAAAAATCCATTCATCTGAGATGTACTCAGAATATTAAATGGTCATTCTGAATACAAGACCATGTCTTGTTTGGGGCTGAGCTGCGTCTTGCCATGTTTCTAGACACAATTCAGAGAAAGTGTCTATTGATGTCTCTCTTGTGTGTTGTGTTCATGTAGCCTGTTTGTTTTGCTGGTGTGTTTGGATTTGTGGTAGCTCGCATAAACAGGGGTCTACTATACATATTTGTGGATTAGCATGCGCTCTATTTCAGGACCAAAGCAGTCCATCACATGGGTCCAAACTTAGAGACTCTGTTTTGAAGCTGATTCCAGATCTTTAACAGGTTGATAATTCATTGATTGATACTGACTTTACACTTGCAGATGTGTTTCTGAACAGCATATATGAAAGAAATAAAAATGTATCTTAATGCTGAAAGTCATTTGCAATATTAACTGTTTAAATGGAGACTTCCAAATAATGATACATTTTGGTTTGAATTACTCATACTTATGCTGTCAGAAAGCTGTCCTGATGAAGATATTTATGTTGATGTTCGTTTACCTGGAATTTAAAAATTGAGTTGTACACTTTGGGAAGGTGATATATGAAGAACATCTTTGACCATAAACATATAATATGTGTCCTTAAAAAATATAAATACCAACTCCAGAAGGGAAAGGTTATTGCTTGGATACTTTCTGTTTAAATTCACATTAGAGCCTCTTAGATTTGAAGTCTGCCCTTACCTCCTTTTGAAACTCATCACAATTAATCTCTCCCCTGCAGATCGACCCAAAGGTGGCATTTCCCCGCCGCGCTCAGCCTAAGGTTAGTACACTCCGATGGGGTTAAAAGCAGTGGTGGTGATGTCATATGTCACCCCTAATCCTCCGATCCTGATTGGCTGGAATTAGAGTAAGGCACGTGACCAGAGAGGAGCTGCAGTCCACTTGCTTAGCTTGACACCATGACCCTTTAGTCTGCACCCTGACCTTTCCTCTGCCCTCTGAAAACACACACACACAAACACACACACACACACACACACACACACA